AAAAGAGTGAGACTCTGTCTCAAAAAAAAAAAAAAATACGATGGGGGAAGTTTTAAATAGTTGTTTTTGTTTTTTTTCCCACAGAACAGTGATGACCCAAAAAGAGTCGTCAGAATTTAAAGCCAAGATACAAAACACTATCACATGTGTTATATTTTAATACACACACACATATATATATATATATATATATATATGTTTTAATGAAGGGAATGTTCATTCTTTTGAGCTAACTACTGGCAACGCCAATGATAAATAACTTCAGGTTTTTGGGTCTCCTGCCCAATTAAATATATTAGCTTATCTTATAAAATCTGCAGATATAATGAATACCAGAGTGAATAGTGGACTTTTGCTTTGAAAACATACATAAAGTGCTAGTGGAAAATCTATGCTAGATAGTCAAGAAACTCCTTTCGGGCCTTCTGGAACCATCTAACTTATAGGTACTTGTACCTTGGCCATCCATTTTGCTAACAGAGATATAGGTCCTTTCAAGATTTGAGTGAGCACGCTGTTCAACTAGATTATAATCTAACTTTCTGTTGCTGCAGTGGAACACTAAAATTAACTTATAACCAAGTTACTTCGTATTAAATTTATTTCCCCCCACAGTTCCATTCTCCCCATTTTAATGCTAAAGTCGGAACTGTCACCTGCTTCTAAACAGCAACATTTAGGAATGTCTGGGAGTTTTTGCTACATATAAGTTTTAATTTTCCTTACTTTTTATACATAATTCAGAAAGTCCTAAAAAGTAATTAAGTTTTGGTTTTAAACACATTTCTTGCGTAGAAACATAAACTATATGTATATACCTTGGGAAGTCACAAAATTTGAAATACAGTTTAGCCACACTGAAAAAGGCATCAGAATTGTCCCATAATTCATTCTGGAGGTAAGTATCCATGCCTAGGTAGAAGAAAAACTCCATCCTAAGTTCTATGTTTTCTATCTTCCCTGGGAGTAAATATTTTACTTACAGACTTTAAGAAAGAAAAGGAAATACCTGTAGGTGTCAATAGGAAGCTGAAATCTGGAGCAGGATGAGAGCAGAGAGGCAGTGCCCCAAAGCCAGCAATAATTTTAGTGAAGAAGAGAAATTAACTCAGTACCTAAGTCAGTAGGTTTGTTTATTTACAATGAGTTTAAATTAGAGTTTGGCAATGTTTTATGCTCCTCTTCTCAAGATAATGACCAGTTTGTCAAGCAAAGTTGAGTTTGGCAGAGCATCCTAGAAAAAATGCATTCAGGTACCAATATGAGATTGGCATCTTCAAATAATTTTTTTAGCCAGTGTTTTTTTTTTAAACCTGGGGGACAGGGCAGGAAAAGGGGTGGTAGGAGGAAAAGAGACAAGGCTGAAGAGTGCTTAAAGAAATACTGAGCGGCCCATGCATGTAATTCCCAATGCTTTGGGAGGCCAAAGTGGGAGGATCGCTTGAGGCCAGGAATTTGAGACCAGCCTGAGCAACGTATCAAGATCCTGTCTCTATAAAAAATTTTAAAAATTAGCTGGGCATGGTGGCGCACGTCTGTAGTCCCAGCAACTTGGGAGGCTGAGGCAGGAAGGTCACTAGAGCCCAGGAGTTTGAGGTTGCAGTGAGCTATGATGACACCACTGCACTCTAGCCAAGGCAACAGAGTGAGACCCTTTTTCCAAAAAAAAAAAAAACAAATCACTAACATATACTGAGTATATCTAAGAGATGTTGACTACCCTAACTCCTTTTCTGGAAGGTAAGGAACACAAAGAGTAAATAATTCAGATTAAAAATAGAAAGCAAAAAGTTCCTAGCAGTGAACTAATAGAAGACTGCTGCAATTATGGGCAGAATAATGTGTTATAATTTTCAGAAGTGAGAAGAAAATGTTGGTGAGCCAAAAATGCTTTTACCTTTTAAGCATAATATTCTTCATATAAATTGTAAGACATTTACTAAACAAAAGATTAATCATATATCATTAATTAAAGGTATAGGTACATTTCATTTAAAGGCAAAGCAGAACCAGATAAAATAAAACCCCAAAGGCATTCATTCTAATTAGCTGCAGTGCAAGTCGGCTCACATGTGAGATTTAAGAAAAATTTCAGAGGAGCCATTCTTAATGCCCGTTTTTTGTTCAAAAATAGATGTAAAAGAAAGAAAAGCTTTTCCATCCTGTTCATATGTACCTTCCACAATCCTGACACTTCCTCAATAGGTCTTTCACATTTGCCATCCTGTTTGATCTCTGTTGCTCACTTTTTTTTTGAGACAGAGTCTCACTGTGCTGCCTAGGCTAGAGTGCCGTGGCGTCATCCTAACTCACAGCAACCTCACATTCCTGGGCTCAAGCGATCCTCCTGCCTCAGCCTCCCGAGTAGCTGGGACTACAGGCATGCGCCACCATGCCCGGCTAATTTTTTTTCTATATATTTTTAGTTGTCCAATTAATTTCTTTCTAATTTTAGTAGAGATGGGGTCTTGCTCTTGCTCAGGCTGGTCTCGAACTCCTGAGCTCAAACAATCCGCCCGCCTCGGCCTCCCAGAGAGCTAGGATTACAGGCGTGAGCCACCGCGCCCGGCCTGTTGCTCACTTCTAATACCAGGTTGATGGATTTTGATAATTACATATTAACATTATGCTACCTCCCCTCTTAATTCTTTCCACAACCAAAATCCAGTCAGTTGTCCCAACCTACTGAATTTCATAATAATTATAAGGTTAAAAACCTGTGCTTAATATAAAAATCATTGTTTGTCATATTTGGTGTTTATATATATAAACATTCCTGAGACTAAGTACCATACCATAGTAATTTTTAAAAAAAAATTTTAACCAGAAACCACCTTTACCATACATTCTATGTCAGATATTGTTTCTCACGGTATCTGGTTTTGAAGTGTCCTCTATACCCTCAAAATTAAAAGCCTCATCTTAAGAAAACAGACAAATCTTATGTTGGGCCACAAACGTCCTAGTTGAAAAAGGAGGCAGAAAAATATAGACAAGAACTACAATTTTGTTTTTAAAAATTACCCTTTAGTAGACTTTCTTACTAGCTATGCCAGGTATCAATAAATGTTTCCTGGTGGTAACAGTGATATATCCTCTTGCCCCTAAATATTCCAATGGGATGTTGGTTAGAGGGGTAAGATCCCTAAGTTATATAGGAAGATATACACATAAATTGGTGGTCTAGACAGAGGACATATGCAGTGGCAAAAGCAAGATAGCAAATTGAGTATTTAGAAAGGAATATGTTAAGAGGAATAGAAAAGGAGATATAGCAAATTTTTATGTGAATATAATCCCCCACCAAAATGATGTGAGTCACTCTTGAACTCCATAATTCAAAAATGTTTGATTCATCATGACTGGCGAAACATCATCACCTGGACATTTACCTATAACTGTAACACATTAGAACTGATAATGTGCTTCACATACACACACACACACACACACACACAAAGAGAGAGGCATTCAAAACACTTAACAAGTGGTATGGCATAGGCAGCAATCTTTCAGAATGGACACTGGTCAGCATGCCACACTTGGGTGTACCTGTTGAATGCCAGCCCTGGCTCTAGGACATGGCCCATGTTATTTGAAGAAGAAAAAACCCTGTTATAGCAAAGATTCTTGTCTGCTTGCCATTTTTCACTTTGAAATGTCTGGGTGTGTTATGGGTGGGAACAGAGGTAGATGCGTAATCATACAAAGACTAAGGACTAATAAGGGTGCAGAAATCCTTAAAATGTTCCGTGAAAAACTAGAATGCTGACTACCCTGGGCTAAGTACTGAAAGCCTGGTAACCATTTTAATGAAGGCATATAACTGAATACAACTTATGGGAGACAGACCATGAAACCATTTATAGATGGTAGGTATTTAATTTTCAAATGGTATACCAGGTATAGAGAAGTATAAACAAATTTTGAGTATTCACCTTCAGGCAAAAAAATAGAGGAAAGGATGTAGAAAATTGGGTAGTTGCCCCACCCCAGTTGAGTGATGAAAGTATCATACTAGGGCCTATTGGCTAATAATGACTTTAAGAACACCTAATTTGCAGTAAGGGACCTCCACCCGCCTTGCCTTACTGTGTCTAGGTAAAAAAAAGAAGTACCCATATGTAACAGAAATTCAATCAAAGAAAAATGATTACAAATTTCCCACGACAACCAGGACAGAGATGCAACTGAGTCAGGATTCTTAATACTACTACATGGGACTGTACAAAAAGGAAGCAAAATCACTTTACAGAATAAAAAGAACAAACTAAGAATAGTAGTAAAATGTGGTAACAGGTAGCAGTGCTCTGAGGTTCCCCTAGGTGAAAGATGAGGGCATTTCTGAGCTGTTAGTAAAATTTGGCTTGAGAACAATAAAAAGTAAATTTACCTATTGTTTGAACTATAAATCTTATAACAACTTTGAACATCAAAGTAGCAGTGGCAATGGGAATGAAAGTGAATCTGTATTATGCAGAGGTGCAGCAGAGTTAAGTAGAGACTTTAGACCCTAAAGGGATTCTGCCTTAGTTCAAACACTTGTCTCTGCCCTTCCTAGCTGTATGTCCTTGAGCATGCTACTTTATTTCTCTGGGTTTTCACTAATTTGTTTTAAGTACATTTAGGGGCTTATTAGTTGATGCAATGTGCAATTATTGCTTGTGCCAAAATTCTCCAAATTCGGTACCTATAGTTCCACACAGAGCCTTCACTTTACCTATTATTTATCAATGTTAGAGAGGTAGGGGAGAGACTCTTTTGGGTGTACTTTATCATTTCTTGAAGTTGGATGCATGCTGACTCAGATGTCAAGTAAAAAATCCAAAAAGCTTTTAAGGGAAAACTTTCTTTGTGTATTATTCTGGGTCCTTCCTGGCCATTAGCCACTATAAAAGATCAGGGTAGGAAGAATTTCCAGGAACCCCAGAGCCTTGACCTAGGAACAAGAGATTTGATCTGATAAAATCCAAGTAAGGTCAGCAATATGCTACAATGAGACGTGGCAATGGATTACTGCTTGAGATACACAAGATTTTTAAATTTCCTTGTGAAAGTTCTTTATAGAAGAAAAATCAAGCAGGTAGCAAGAATAATACTATAAAAAGAGTTGTGTTGCAGGTTGGGGTCCTTTTAACCTTTTAACAATGCATTTAATATAAGGCTCCTGAATGTGGTCAAGACTCCATGCTGTGCTTTTATTTTAGCAACAGGTTAATGCTACCGTGGATAAATAATGGACATTATTTTGTACAAATGCAGCTTCCTAGGATATGTGAAATTTGCTAATAAAACATAACTTTAATAATTACACAAACTGTATTCGTATACCGAGCAGGAAATAGATGACAATGACCTAGCTTTATTGATGTTAGAAATAATGTTTACAATATCATTTAGACACAAAGCTGCTTCACTTACCACTTCTGTTGATGTTTCTGCGTGTTCAGAAGTAACATGTTCTTGAAGAGATGTCTCCGTATAGCCCATTTTTCCACAATATGGACAAGTAAAAGACTGTGGCTGCTCTACAGAGAAAGCTTCCCCACCATAGTATAAATCTGAAAAATAAAGTAGAATTGCACTGAGGAATAATCATTAGTTTTTTAAAATATATAAAAATGTAATCATATGGTACAATAATGTAAAAAAAAAAAAAAGTGTGCCTGAAACATCCACCAACAACCTCACTCTGTCAAGGAGTGCTTAGGTACTCCTGTTTACATTTGTAACATCCTTATTCCCAAAAGGATTCCATGGTACTCCTTCAACATTCCTTCCCTGATAGCTACCATAGCCTTAAGAGAAAACAAAGCAAACTCCCCCTCTCCATTTAATTTTGAAACACTGCTCATTTCACATCTGGTTCTAATTGTATCGTAATTTATTTTTTCCTTATCTCTGTATAGACTGTGACGAAACTGCTATCAACAGAAATAATCAACACAGTCTATTATATACAGGAAGACAAGTACTCAGAGGGAAAGAACAGATAACCATGATCAATGAGCCAACTCCCAGATGCAGCTATTTATCTAAAGAACATACCTTTTTAGAGCAGGAGGGAACCTAGGCATTCAGTTCTTGTAAATGCTAACTTGAATAGGGTACTATCACAACATACTCTGCCCAACTGGGTTACTGAAGAACTGACCAGTTAGAGTCTGTGGGAATAATTTGTTCATCTCATTAGTATATCTCAGGAAATAACTCTATTTTTCTCCATTAGTAACTGCTATGGCATGAATATGCTTTGCCCCCAAAACTCATATTGCTGCTTGGTCCCCAATGTGGTGGCAATGGGAGGTGGAGCCTTTAAGAGATGATTAGGTTAAGAGGGATTAATGCCTTTTTTGCCCTTTTTGCCTTTCTTGAGAGTTAGTTCTCGCTCTCTTGGGACTGCATTAGTTACCGCAAGAGCAGGTTGTTATAAAGTGAGGCTGCCTCTCACTTATTGTTTGGTGCCTGCTTCCCCTTCTGCTTCTCTGCCATGCCATGACACCACACGAGGCCCTCATCAGGAGCAGACCAGATATAGCTGCCTGATTTTAGACCTTCCAGCCTCCAGAATCACGAGCTAAATAATTCCTTCCCTTTGTAAATTACTCAGTCTCAGGTATTCTGTTACAGCAACAGAAAATAGCCTATGACAGAAACACACAAAAAATGAAATTGAAAGTTTATTCAGTATTCTTTGCCACTTTACTATAAGTAAGTATTCAATTCTTTAACATGAAACAAATGACAAATTTAAGAGCACATGATTGCTTTTATGAGAAGAAAAAAATGGAAGAAACTGTTTACTACATGATTGATTTGTTTATATTCACTTTCAGGGATATTTAAACTATTTTAAAAGTATTTACCCATTATATATATATATATATACTGACCATTATTATGTGCACAAGACTTGCCAGATGGATTTGGGGTAGTTGGGGATTAATATATAAAAAAGAATCGAACTTCCTCACCTGATAAAGGGCATCTACCAAAAACCCATAGCCAACATCATATTTACTGGTGAAAAACTGGATGCTTTCTCCCTAAGATGAGGAACAAGACAAGGGTGTCCACTCTTGCCACTTTTATTCAGTATTTTACTGAAGGATCTAACTAGAATAAATAAAAGGCATCCAGATGGAAAGGAAGAAGTAAAATGATCTTTATTTGCAGATGACATGACCCTATATATAGAAAATCCTAAGGAATCCACTAATTAGATCCACTATTAGAACTAATAAACAAGTTCAGCAACATTGCAGGATACAAGACCTATATACAAAAAAATCAATTGTTTTTCTATACATTTGCAATGAACAATCAAAAAATAAAATTAAAAAAAATTCTGTTTACGATAGCAAAAAGAATAAAATACAAATGCTCCTTGACTTACAATGGGGTTACATCCTGATAAACCTATTGTAAGTTGAAAATGCATTTAACACACCTAACCTACCAAACATCATAGCTCAGCCTTGCCTACCTTAAACATGCTCAGAACACTTACATTAGCCTACAGTTGGGCAAAATTATCTAACACACAGCCTGTTTTTATAATAATGTACCAATATCTCATGTAGTTTATTGAATACTGCACTGAAACTGAAAAACAATGGTTGTATGGGTACTTGAAGTACAATTTCTACTGAATGTATATCACCTTCGCACCATTGTAAAGTTGAAAAATCATAAGTCAGGGACTGTCCACACTTAAGAATATATATAATGAAAGAAGTGCAAAACCTATATTCTGATAACTATAACACTATGTCAAAAGAAATTAAAAAAGACCTAAATAAATGGAAACATATCCCATGTTCACAGATCAGCAGATTTAGTATCATTAAGATGGCAATACTCTCTAATCTACAGATTCAGTATAATCCCTATCAAAATCCCAGTTGGATTCTTTGCAGATACTGACAAATTGATCCCAAAATTCATACAGAAACTCAAGGCATACAGAATACCCAAAACAATCTTGAAAAAGAACAAGGTTGGAAGACGCACATTTCTCGATTTCAAAGCTTACTACCAAGCTACAGAAATCAAAGCAGTGTGGTATTGGCATAAAGCTAGACATATAGATCAGTGGAATAGATTGAGTGTCTAGAAATAAACCGTCATTTACAGTCAACTTAGTTTCAATAAGAGTACCAAGACAATTCACTGGGTAAAGAACAGTCTTTTCAACAAATGATGCTGGGACAACTGGATATTCATATGGAAAGAATGAAGATGGCCTTCTACCTTACTCCATATATAAAAATTAATTCTAAATGGATCAAAATCTAAATATAAAAGCTAAAGTTAGAAAACTCTTAGAAGAAAACATAGGTTTAAAATCTTCGTAACCTTGTATTAGGCAGTAGTTTTCTAGATATGACACCAAAAGCATGAGAAATGAAAAAAATAGATAAACTGGACACTATCAAAATTAAAACTCTTGGGCTTCAAAGCACACCATTAAGAAAGTGAAAAGGAAACCCACAAAATGGGAGAAAAATTTTGCAAATCATCTATCTGATAAGGAACTTGTATAGAGAATACATAAAGAAATATTACAATTCAATAATAATGACACATCCAATTAAAAAATGGGCAAAAGGTTTGAATAGATAGTTCTTCAAAGGAGATATACAAATGGCCAATGCACAGAAAAGATGCTCTATCTCATCAGCCATCAGCAAAATGCAAATCGAAACTAACTGCTTGAGATCCCACTTCACATCCACTAGGACGGCGTAATCAAAAAGACGGATAATAGTAAGTGTCAGCTCGGTAAGGAATTATAGCATGCAACATTTATAGCTTTTCTTATGACAACGTCTTCTAATCAGCTGTAGAAATAATGTGCTTTCTGATCACCAGAACAAGAACTAGTACTTTGTGTGCTGTTAACAGGAACAGTCAGTTTGACTTTGTTCCTTCTCTACTGAAGTGCTTTTCTATTTCATACCTTGTCAGTTGTGTATATTTCTGAATGGCTTTCATAAATAAGTAAACCATGATTAAGAAATAGAATTACTCAGAATATAAAAGTAAGCTTCATTTTATTTTTAACAAATTTGGGGCCTTACGTATGCTATTGGGGATAGTTTAGGAACATTTTACCTTTACTTCTTCACACACATACACACAAAATTCCAAAGGATGTAAGTCATTAAAATTTCAATTAAAATACTTACCAAAATCTACCCTTGTTAATATGCACTGCATTGGGTGGTCAGTTGTATGCCTTGTTGTTGTTGCACCACTTTCATAACAAGATGCACAAAGATCGTAATCGTAGCAAATTAAACACTTATATCTGCGACCTCGAAAATTTCCTTTTAAACATGCATCACAGCTGACACCTATTAAAAAAAGAAATAATTTTAACTAGCAGCTGTAAAAGGCCACTCTCCATTTCATTTTTATAAATGTTTCTGATGCTCATTTAACCCCATATATCCTTTCCAAAATGACTAGAAATGACATAGTAAAATGATGTGGGAATTTCCAGCAGTGTGGTGGATTCATTACTCTGATTTATACTCCTAATAAAAATAACTTAAAATGCTTGATAACATGTAAAAACCCCCTTTAAAAATGTCTTGATAAGCCAGCGAGAAGGTAAAAACCAAGGGAAAGAGGAACTGGTGACCAGAATCAATCAAGGGGGCTTTTCACTTTTCAACCTGAAGGCATTTGCCAAAGCAGGTAAAACTCTGAGCTTAGATTTCCACAGCATTGCACAGGAAACAAAGACCAAGATCTGCTGAAGGTGGGATATCTAAGAGGAGATTCCTCATAAAACTAAGACCCTAATATATTCTCAACGTACAGTGAGCTAGAAATTCTCCCTAGCGGATTACAAAAATTGCACTAGTGAAGCTTCCCACATCCCCTGGGCACAAAATAACAACAAAAAACCCTGAAAAGTCATAACCACAAACCAGCCCTCTTATAGGTTTATAACCCAAATTCTAACAAATGGTTCCAAAAACCTCAGGCCAAGAACTGAGTTTAAAGTGGTCTTAAATTAGTATTGCCACCAAGCATCTGGCACAAAGAAACTTTCGAGGAATGAGTTCATAGTTTAAATCATAAAATACACACAAAAAACAAAGCACCACCAGGAAGAAATAGCAGAATCAGACAGAGTGCATGTCTGAATTAGATATCAAATAACAATTCTTAATATGTTAAGAGGAATTAAAAAGGAGCTTGAAGAGGCAACCAGCAGATCTGAAAATGAACTGAACTTATAGATATATAGATATAAAAAACAAGTTAAAATTTAAAACTCAACGGGCAGGTTTTCATAGAAGGAAATTTTATTCACATGTGATATACTTGTTTATGTAGAAAACCTAAATACAGCTAAATAATTAGAATTAGTATTAAGCAAGGTTGCTATATACAGAGACCAGCTTAATAAAATAACGATTATATTTCTTTACTCCAAACAGATAGAAAAATGTATAATTAAAAATGTCATTTATGATTCTACCTAGATTAGCCAATTAGAGAAAGAAAGCAGAATACCGGTTACCAGGGTTGGGAGGAAAGGAGAATGGCGAGTTATGGTTTTGTGGGTACAGAGTTTCAGTTTGGGATGATGAAAAAATTCTGGAGATAGACAGTGGTGATTGGTTGCACAACAATCTGAATGTACTTAATAATGTAGGTGAATTGTACACTCAAAAGGGGTTCAAAATGACAAATTTTATGTTATGTGTATTCTACCGCAATAATAAAATACGCCATATAGCATTTTTAAAAAGCGCCTATGAATAAATCTAACCAAATATAGGCAGCCTGTTATGAAGCAAATTAGTAAAAATGCATTAAAACATTAAAGGACTTTTAAAAAATATAAATAACAGGTTCATGGACTGGAAGGTTCATAATAAAATGACAATTCTCTCCAAACTGATATGTTGATTTAATATTAACACAATTCTAACCAAAATCACACAAGAATTTTTTTGTGGACCATGATAAGCTGATTCAAATTTTGATACACGTTACAAAGGGCCAAGAACAGTCAAGAAACTCCTGAATTAAAACAAGATGGAGGGACTTGTTTAACATATCATCAAGAGCTACAGTAATAAATCATAGCACAATAACAAGTAAGAAAACTATAGTAATTAAGAGGGAATGGCACTGGTAATAGTGACAAACTGACCTATGGAACAGAATAGAAAGCCCAGAAGCAGACATACACATGTTGAAATCTGTTCTATGACAGCAAGTTCTCTTCAGTGGAGAAAGAAGGGGGTAGACAACGAATGGTGCTGAATAGGTGATTATCCATACGTGGGGAAAACAGAATTGGATCTCTTCCCCATCTCTCTCTCTCTCTCATACACACACACACACACACACACACACACACACAATTAATTCCAGATGGTTTAAAGACAAATCCAAAAGAAAAATGAAAAAAATCTCCAGAAGACAATATAGGAGAAAATTTTTAGGAGCTCAGAATAGGAAGCAATTTCTTAATCAATCTCTCACTCACTCATACACACACACACACACACACACACACACACACACACACACACACAGTCCAAACATAAAGTAAGAGATAAATTCAACCACATTAAAAGATTTTTTCTTCACCTTTTAACAGCCTAAAGTGATTGAAAAGATAAGGCCCAGAAACTGGCAATTATGTACAACACACATGACAGACAAGTTGGGTATTCAGAATACATTAAGAACTAACTAAACAAATCCCAGCTTTGCTTTTTATTTACTTATTTATTTTTTGTTTGGAGGAAGGGACTTTAAAAAAAATAAAATATTAAGTGTATATATGAGAATATTTGTAAAATAATTGTAAGGGAAAAGAATGGTACTACAGATCCCCTTGGCCAGCTCTAGTTACCTTTCAAGATCCCTAATGGCTCCATATTACTGTTTTTTCCCCCATAATATTCTCTTAATCTCCCCTCACCCCCCAGAGGGAGACTCTGACCACAATTTTGTCATTCCTTGTTTTCCTTTTATAGTTTTACTACACGTTGGATTTCGTAAACTAGACATTGTTTTTTAACTTTATACTGTGTTTTCTTTAAGACTTCCTTTTACTCATCTGAAACTGTTAGATGTTCTTGCCTGTGGCTATGATTCATTCTTTTCTCAGTTCACTCTATAGATATGAACTGTTGATGAACCTTTGTGTTGTTAATAGTCTTTCTTTTTTTTTTTAATTCTCCTGGTACACATGGAGAAGATTCCCTGGGGAATGTATTTAAGAGTGAAATTGTAATACCATAGAAGGTACACATGTTTAACTTGATTACAATGTGAATAAATTTTTCAAAGTGGTTGTACTGGAGTCTGCTCCCACCACCAGGGTATCAGTATAACAGAGTCCCCTCCTGAGTTTATCTGTCAGGATTTCTATCATTTTATAACTCAGATGAACAAAACTTGCTCTGTGTCAACTACAGGAATCGACAGTTCCTATTAGAGAAAAAAGTTAACTCTTTGCTGCAGCTCCTTGGTTAACAACAGTGGTTCTACCTGGTTCCAGGAGGCTCAGGGAAATCTGGAACAGAACAAATACATGACGTATATAAAATTACCAATTCCTTGACAGGAAGAATGGAGTTGTTTCCGATGAGATAGCAATAAATTATATTTAAGACATTTAGAAACAAAATTCCTACAGAAAAGTATTATGACAGAAATGAGTTCAAATATTGTCAAATAAAATATTGTCTTGAGAGGCAAAGCTGAAGAATCACTAGTTGTCTAGATAGCACTAAGATCTATTATATTAGAAAATGTTAGCTTTCATTTTCTCTCTCTCTCTCTATATATATATAGTATGGAGATATATATATATATCTCCATCCTGCAAAAGCTGAGTTAACCAAGTAATAAAATATGCAACCCATCTAGCTTAGTCATACTATGTCATTAAGAAGCTCAGACAATCACTAGTTTGTAAAATGGTAACTACCACAAGGCACATCATAAAGTTATGGCGGGATATTTATAATCCCCTATCCGATCATGTTTATCCAGCAAGATAAATGAAAAGGCTAACAGAGTTTAAGCCCAATTTTGACACTGACACCATTAAATCTAAATAAAAAGAATGGTGTATATCTGACAACCCCTATCTGAAAAAGTTATTAATATATCTGAGCATATTCATATCCTCTGCATTTACCTTGTATTTGGCAGTTCTATAAAATGAATAAATAAAAGTTATGAACTAAAATCAGAGAAAAAGAATGCCCTCTAGTGGGAACAGATTTTTTAAAAGCTACTGAAATAATATGTAAAATCTTTTCTATTTTTAAAAACTGAAACAATGAGGTTTTTATGCTTACTTGCTCACAGCTTTTTAAAGGGGAAAATCTCAGGTTGATGTAGCTTTTACTTTTGATTTGAATTAATTTTTAGATAGGGAATAGGGAGTTAGTGGGAAGGAAAGGTCAATAAAGGACAAGTTACCTGTCAAGAAACACAGTGAAAAAGAATACAACAGGAAGTCGACCACACCTGGAATCTGAAGGTCTGGGATGGTAGTATACAGCACCTGCCATTGACAACCAATTTTGACTTCTAGACACTATGTAATTTGGGGGATGGGGGAAAGTCCTCTTTTCTACTTCTGTGAAATGGCTTTGTATTATCTCTTCAAGGCTCATGCATCTCTCCAAAAAGTATGACTTTTTTTTAAAAAGGGTGTGTGTATGCTATACAATAATTTTAATATTGAGAACTACACAGGGAACTGTACTACTAAACGTAACTTTACAATGATAAAGAGAATCTCCAAGAAGAGGCTCTCTGCATTTAAGCAGTTGAAAAATTGTGTAACCCTTTCAAGAGGATCTCAGATGAACACAAAAGTAAAGAAATAAACTATTAGTAACTCAGTGAAAAGCAGAAGTAGCTAGAATTATTATGCTTTAAAAAGATGGTCAAAAGGTACTTCCAGAAGTGAAATTCCTAGAGGAAGAGAATCTAAGACAAATTTTATAATGTTTCCTAAATTGGGAAGGAACCTAGATCAGGAGTGGAAAGTTTTTTCCCCCTTCTATTTAAGAATCATAGGGGAAATATAAATAATTATCCCTTGCAAAAGTAAAAAGTAACTTTAGGGGTTTGTTTCTTAAAAAAAAACTATTATTAGGATTAGGAACAGGACTAAAACATCTGTTAAGTACATGTATTTAACTCCATACATGTGTATCTTTAAAAATCTATGCCATGTGTTTAAGGGATAGACTCAAGAGGAGCAACAGGGTACCAAGTCCCATACGAACATACCTTTCAAGAAAAGGCCTATAGCTCAAGACATTCCAGGGGCAGAGAAAGAGAAATGAAAAAGAGG